ATTTGGTTCTTGATTCAAGATTGATCATTGAAAATATGTTTTCTGAAATAGGGAATTCGATTCCCTACAAAGATGGGAGAAATTTTTTTTGAAATTCGCCCTATCCATTCCGCAAGATTTGGGCGTCCATGTGATGGATATCCCATCCCTTCACTCAGAACTTCTAGCTGTAAGTTCGTTGTCTCATAGTATTCTTTTTTTAATAAATATAAACTCTATATATGAAATAAGGGTTTCTATTAAATAAAAATGAGAGAGAAATGAGGAGGGATGGCTTCTTAGGCTTTGAATTTTAAGTAGTTATAAGCAAGCAATACTGATGCATATCTATATGTGATTTTTTTTTTATCATTTGTTGAAACATCATTGAATATTCCCAAAGATTTTAGAATCATTCCAAAATTTCTATTTTTTTAAAGAAGTAATGTGTTATAAATGAAAAAGAGAATGAAAATGAAAGTTCTCTATGATAATAAAACTTGAAAAAAAAAACTATAAGATATGAAACTTTGTCAATCAATTAATGATTCAAGAATCTACAAATTCCACTTAGTATATATATATATATACTAAGTCATGGATATAAAAAATCATGCCGTTCTTAAAGAAATACATTTGACCAATATATCTAGGAAATAAATTCTAATTAGCTTAAATAGCCAAAACCAGATTGGTGATTAACTGATGCTATAGAGGCTTAGTCAAGCTCACCAAATAAAAGGTTTACCAAATTCCATCGGTTACAATCCAATGTCCAATTACCACCATGCCAATGTTGAACAATATGGATATAACACAAGTATGTTAGATAGTGTATGCCCTTAGTTCCAATCAAATTAATGTACACCGAGTTTTATGTAATAATAAAATCAGTTCATAATTATTTTATGTTCAGATTGATATGTTTTTTGTGAATTACCCCTTAAATTGGACACCTATGAGACTTGTCTTTGTTTACAAAGTTCTCAGCCATTGGATAAATTGACACAGTTGACACTGATGTACTATCAAAATGGTGGAGCAACTTGTCTCAGTTATTGGGGTTAAGCCTCAAGTATAGTCAGTGGGTGTTTATAAGAAACACTAAACATAGACCAATTTTCAATTATGCCTTGGACCTTAGAGATAGATGGTTGCACTTAACCCCAAACTTGATCATAGCATTGCACTAGGTCTTGGACTAGGGAATGTTGGAGCAGTTTAAGATATTACCTGAGTGGGTGATCATTGTGATAGGATCAACCCATTTTTCAGATAAAGTGAATATTAGGGTTTACACTCTCTTTGATGGAAACCTAAAGCTATCAAAAACGGATTTCAATTGTTTTGAAATCTCCTTGCAAAATGTTGTTATATTTATATTATTTTATTTTATGAAAAATGTTTGCAAAAGGTTTTAATTTCGGAATCCATTTGAGTAGAGAGTGTGACAACGCATTTTGCAGGGAAGAGGTCCTTCTCTGTGAGTAGTATTTTGATTATTTAGGGTTGAGAGGTTAAGGGCAAGAGACCATTATAGGGCTGAAACTTGATGGGCTTAATCTTATATCAATCCATTATACTTGGGCTTCATAAGGTGGTTGAAACCAAGGGTCACTTAGACTTAAGTTTTGGGCCCATATAGGGGTGGCACCGAATCGAGCTTTTCACGAGCTGCTCGAGCTTGGCTCGGCTTGGTTTTAACTGAGCTTCGAGTCGAGCTCGAGCCCAATTTACAGGCTTGATTAATAGACGAGCTGAGCTCGAATATATATATATATATATATATATATATATATATATATATATATATATACACTCGATTAGTAAACGAGCCGAGCTCGAATGTATATATATAAAAAAAATTATAGAAAATAATATATATAATAAAAATATTATAATTCTTATTTTTTTAAATATCAAATAAAAAAATATTTTTATATACAATTTTTTATTTTTATAAAATATTTTTCCTCAAATTGAGCTCAAGCTGAGTCGAGCTCGAACTTATGAGTTTTTGACTCGAGCCGAGATCGAGCTCAATGTTCTAGCTCGAACCGAGCTTGAGCTCGAGCCTTATACAACCTTGGTGAGCCTAGCTCGAGCCTCATACTATTCTGCTCGGCTTGGCTCAAATCCACCCCTAAGCCCATATTAAGCCCAATTTGATTGGCTTAGGGGTTCACTACCTTTGTGCAATGAAATTTGGCCTATGTGTTTCCAGACATGGGCTGAACCAATATGGATTGATATGAGACCTTTGTGGGTCCCACACCATACATTATTCAGGCCTATGAGCCTTGCAATAGTAAGACTAATTAAACTAGTCACATCACAACTAAGTTGTCATGTGATGTTGATTGAATATGGGTATGTATATAGGTTTGGACCTCCATAGTATTAGTGTAATTAGAGACCTAACTCAAATCTGATTTAGATTAGTCCTAATTACATTAGGAAAGAGGGCTATATATAGAGACAAGAGGGAGAGGTCGACCTACACTATTTTAGACACTTTTGCACTCTCTCACTTCTCTCTTGCTTCCCATAAACCCTAGTTTGAACCAACCAAGGAAGAGACAGTTCTTCCATCATTCTCTGCTGTGTTTTTGAAGAAAAACATCAGATTTGAAGTGGTTCTCACAGCTGCATTAATCCTAACTCGTTGGAGATCAAAATCAGTTGAAGGATTGTTGTAGGATTGACCTTAAGTTCTAGCTGCGCCATCTTCAGTTGGGAGGCCGATCTAGGTCTGAGTTTTGGGCATGGAACTACCACCCTGGGAGCTGCAAATTGTGGACTCCATATCAGGTACGCTCAAATTATTTTTGGTGTTCAAATCTGGCCCAATACAGTGTTATATCGATCCTAAGGAAATTTAATTTTCGAGTTCTGAGAAACGGTTCTCGGTTTTGGGCTGTTTTTTTTTTTTTTTTGAAATTCGGCCATCAACCCTAGCTGGTTCAGCTATGAAACAATTACGTTTCAGTCCATTCAACAAAGTATGTTGTTAAAGGGATAAAACCCAAGAAATATGAAGAACAAAAAAACTAAAGGGCGATGCAGAATTGTATAAAGTTGTTATTCTTATAATAGTAAATGTAGAGAACACTGATGTGGGCCCCACAGCTATTGTCCCACTGTGTTCGTAGGGTAGAAGATGTTCTAGTCTGCCTAGGGTTAGCTATTGGTCATTTAGTTGTTTCAGTTGTTATTTATTTCAGTCTTATTTTTTGCTCTATTTGTTATGTAAAGACTAAGGGCARATCTGTCCTTTCCATGTAATGAGCATAACCTATAAATATTATTTAAAGTGGCGACGGCAGAACATTAAGCTTCTGCTCCTCCTTTCAACTCTTGTGTTCTATTGCTTCTCCTCCCTTTTCCTCTTTTTTCCTCTTACCTTTCTTCTTATTTTCGATCCTGAAATCCGTTAGGGTTCAAGACTGATAACAGTCCTGAACTTCTACTGTAAATATAAAACTACTTGCACTAGATTACAAGTCATATTGCATTCTAAGCTACTTTTCAGTTGTGTTGCTTGGTTGTCTTACATCTTGTAAATCATCTTTTCTATGTTTTCTTCAAATTATTCTTGAAAACTTTTTGATCTTTGGTATCTTATTGTAGCAGACTTCATGGTCATGTTGTTTTCATTCTTTATTTTGGTACCCCCTTTTTTGAATATCTTTCGTTATTAATCCAAAAAGAGACAGTTCCTATATAAACATAATTACCTCATAGAATATTGAAAATACTATACCTGATCCAACAGTAGACACATTGATGAAAGTAAGAAATTTAACCTAATTAGACCTAATACACATAAGTTGTCAGAGAGATCTTTGTAATCTTGCACAAAAATGGGTGAAAGCAAACAAATGATATACCTGAATTTTTATTCCTATCATATAATTGCATCTCCAATTTTTGAGAGGCCTTAGCCTTGCCATGGGCATTGTACACTTCAATCATGGTAGCGAAAGTAATGCTATCAGGTTTGCATTTCCTCTCCTTCATCGTCAAGAAGATTTCCTCCATCTTCTTTACATCCCCAGACTGGCCATAGGCATTGATGGCACAGTTAAAGAATGGAGTATCCAGAACTACATCAGAATTTTCTACTTGCCTCATGATTGAATCAACCCTCTTTATTAGACCAGCTTTAGTATACCCACTAATAAGAGAACAGTAAGTAATAGAATTAGGCTTCAAACCTTGGTGCTTCATTACTTGAAAGAAGTGCTCCATCTGTTTGATATTTCCCCCTTTTCCAAACATCTCAATAACTATGTTGAAAGTAACAATAGTAGGAGAAAAGAATCTTTTCCTCATAAACTCCAAAACCATCCCCATTTTCTCATACATGCCTGCTTTTCCATATGATCTGATTAGGATATTAAATGTCTTTATGTCTGGTGTAATCCCCATATGTTGGAACTCATCATACCACTCCTCCATCTTCTCAATCTGTCCAGCATTTCCATATGCCCAGATGAAAGAGTTTAGAGTGTAAATATCAGGCAGGCATTCACTATTCTCAATCATGTCCATCAGTGAGCTCTCCATCAGTTCAAACATCTCGGCCTTACCATATCCATCAATTATGGTATTATAGGTAACAGTGCAACACCTAATTCCCAAATATGACATCTCAGTGAGAATATGATCTATTAGATCAAAACGATGAAGTTTAGTGCAACACTTGATGAGGATTGAATATGTGTACACATCTGGTTTGCAATCAGAGACAGACTTCATATCATCTAAAGTACGAAATGCCTCATCTAGGAGACCGCTGAGGCCATAGGCACTCACAAGTGAAGTGTAAACGTCAACAGTGGGTTTGAGCCCTTCAGACAGCATGAACTCAAACAACAAGCTTGCCTGCTTTGGTTGTCTGCATTTCCCAAGCATCATTAATAGCTTTGTGTAAGTTTGGCATCTTGGTTGGTACCAATGTTGCTTACGAAGAAGCCCAAAAATCTGTGCATATCAAAAATATTTAATTTCAGAGATAACAGGAAACATGAAGGGTTCCTTTCTGAAAAAATTAATTTATAAGCCAGGACAATAAACAAATTTTCTAGCATTATGCTACTGGAAAATTAGCTTTACAATTCATAAATGACAACTCAATAGAACCATATACAACAAAACTCAAATTCAAACAGAAATTACTCCAGTTACATTCTTAAACTTCCATAAAATAAGAATCATTTTATAATTGAATATTTGAATTATATAATAGTAAAGGTCACCAATAATCTGTTAACAATTCTGCATAAAAACCATGCTATTTTAGTATGCAAACAATAAAGTTAATAAAGGAAAGAAAGAAGAAGAAAAGTAAGCAAATTGGATTCAGCCATGGACAGAAAAGGAATGTATTCATTGGTCAAATCTATGATGCAGCACCCAAGTATGGGCAGACCCACCTTCCCTCACAAGGTAGTTTAGGCATGGAAAGTGCCTTTTAAAGTTGCTTTCCTAGTCTGGACAGCAGCCCATAGGAAATGCCTCACCAAAGATAAGTTAACAAAGAGAGGTATTCCAATCTCCACCCCTAACTGCTCTTCATGCAATGCTACACTGGAAGATGCAGACCACTTTTCTTGCACTGCCTAGTGAGCAGGCATATTTAGAATCATCTCTTGGTTAGCTTGTCCAAGCTGGGTTTTTCCCAGTGAGTTTCCTTGGCGGATGCTGCACTGATGGCCTCTCTAGTAATGGAAAATTCATTTGGAGTATGTTCACAGATGTTTTTTGGTCTATTTGGATGGAGCGGAGTAGTAGAGTTTTTTATGGCAAATCCTCTCAAATAAATGAAGTAATACAAAAACATGTTAGAAAAAGTTCTCTTCGGAAAAAACATGAAATCTTTCAACTGATGCATTTTCTTTTGTAATTATCCTTTCACAGATCTTTCATGGAGAAGCTTCACCCCATGTACTGCATCTCAGTTTACAAAATCAATATAATATGCTTTTTCTCAAAAAAAAAAAAGAAAAGAAAACAAGAAGAAGAAAGAAAATTGCTGTAGGAACATATTCAGGAAAAATAAGATTGTGTGTAACATGGTTAAAAAGAAGGCAACCCAGTGCACAAGGCTCCTGCCAATGTGGCAGGATTTGAATTCTGGTGTAAGAACATCGATGCATGCAGCCTTACCCCTGTAGATACACAGAGAGGCTCTTTCTAAGATTTGAACTCTGATCATCCATGTCGCAATCGGAGCAACCTATCCATTCACCAAGGTTGTTTCCAAGCATGTGTGTAACATGGTTGGGCATGTGAATTCACAGAAACATTGAATTCAGACTTCAGAATAACAAGACAGTTGTAAGGAACTGAATCCAATGGATCTGGTATTCTTGCCAATTCAAAGAAATTAGTCAAACAAAACACTCTAGAAAAACATTGGACCCTAAAGAAATGTTGGCCTCAAGCAAGTGTTAACAGAAATGTAAACTTCTTATTCCTTTCCTCTTTATCTTTACTTGTTTGCCTATTGTAATTAGAAAACAACTGTCCAAAATAATCATACAAATTAATTTAATCTTATGTTGTATGGAGCAGAGTGTTGGACAGTTATGAAACAGCATGTCCAAAAGATGAGTCTGGCAGAAAGGCAAATTCCAGATGGATGAGTGGTAAAACTAGAAAGGACAGGGTTAGAAACAATCTGTTGCAAGTTGAAGGGGCTAGGGGTAGACCAGAAAGGACTTGGGTTGAAGTAGTTAAAATTGATTCAAGTGCCCACAATTTAACAATAGATATGGCATTAAAGAGAATGGAATGGCAAAACAGGATTCATGTTGCTGACCTCATGTGGTTAGGGTAAGACTTGGATGATGATAATGATGATGACATAGATAAAAAATGATTATGATGATGGGGTTAGAAATGAAGTCATATGAAGGAAAAGCTCCAGTAGGTGATAATGAAAGTAGATTGAGATGGTTTTGTCACATGCATAGAAGACCACGTACAGCACCTGCTAGGAAAAGTGATCTGTTACAAGTTGAAGGGACTAGATGATCTAGGAGCAGACTGAAAAGGACTTGGGTGGAAGTAATAAGAAATTATTTAATTTAACGATGGATATGACACTGGACAGAACAGAATGGCAAAACAGGACTCATGCAGTCAACTCCATATAGTTGGGATAAGGCTTAGATGATGATGTTGACATACAAACACTTACAGTTTTGCAAGAGTAAGAACCAATTTGTGTATCAGATCTCTAAAGTTTTTATGGTATCAGAGCTTTTCAACACATTGCAAAGTCTTTTCTCAATTTGATCCTTCTCTTACTACTAATTGGTTCCTTTATTCTTTAAATGTCATTACCTCCTTCATTCAGATACTTTGTTTTCAAAGTTCTGTTAGATCAACAGAACAGGTTAGTAATGAACAAGCTTTTGTTGGCTGGTGACAAGGGAAAAACAAAATTATGAATTGGTCTATCAATCAGGTCAGAATCAAAATTGTCAGTTTAAAGTTGGTAGAAACCAGAATTTCTCCTCTCAAGGTTGTGGTTTTCTACAAGTAGGAGAAATGCAATCAAACAATGAGTGACCAAATTTGTCAGTGGCAGCAAATGCAAAATCAAAATTGACAAAGTCGATCAGGACAACAGAGCAATGGAATTAAAATCATAAGAAATGAAACAGGTTCATGGAAGTACAAACTCATACTGAGGGAGATTGAAAGCTGGTGGAAGAGAGGAGTATAATTTATAGATGGACTCCAAGATCAACCAACAGCTTGGCATAGGCTAGCTAAGCAAGGAGAAACCAGGAGCCAGCTCAGTTGAGGCCTAACCGCCCAAGATGGGACTATGTAAACAGAACAAGGATAGGGCCTAACAGGGACTAGAAATTTAAGGGGTGTTTGTCAAATACATAAGAAGAAGGGACATATTGCTCTTGATTTCTATAGTTGCATTAAACACACTTCCAAAAAGGGAGAAGATTTCTCTTATTTTAGTAGATATGTTATTGTTTTTCAACTGTCAACCTCATTATTAATTGTGAAATAAAGAATGAGCTATATACAACAGCATGCTAAGATTCCTTCTTGTCCATCTAGATTCTGTTACCTAACCCCATTTTTATCAATCTAATTTCATCATTGTAATACTATTCAGATGGCTAACATTGCAGATAGTTTTCATAGCCTTCAGCCTTATAATGGTAGTGATAAAATCATGATTAGTGATAGTGGTACTTTGCATATTACTCAATGGGAGATGCTTCAAAAAAATAAAGCTGGAGACATTGATTTATTAATGTTTTATTAGTACCTAACTTGCAAAAGAATTTATTGTCTTTTGGATAATTAACAGGGGATAAGATTTGCATATTTGTGTTTTCTTTTCATGGCATTATTGGAAGGAGCAGAAATTGGGGGCATTCTGCGCACATACACTGGAGATAGAAGCATTTACTCTTTTCAAGCTTTATTTTCAAACCAATCTAGAAAGACTACATAGGATTTATGGCATCAGCAGCTTGGTTGTCCTCATCAGAAGATGGTTTTTTGAGTGGTTGAACTGCTTTAGTTTTCTTGGAACAAGAAACAAACAGTGTGTTCTAGTTATCAATTAGGAAAGTTATTGCCTTTTATTTTTGAAAGTATTCAGTATTTCAGTTAAACATTCCATTTTATAAAGTCTATTGTGATCTTTGGGGCTCTACTCCCATTTGTTAGTGCAAAATTTGAAAACATTGTGTCTCTTTTGTTGATGACTTTAGTCACTTCACCTAGATCTGTCCTATGAAAAAGAAAGCAAAATGACTATTAAAAAATGAAAGAGAAATCAAAATTATTTGATATTTTCATTAAATATTCAAAAGAGCTATTGATACTTAATATAAAGCAAATATCAAAATATTCCAATGTGATGGAAGTATGTGTTAAGAAAACTGAATTCTTACAATACTGGATGACAATGGAATCATACAACAATTGTCTTGTCTTCTGACTCAAGAAACAAATGATACAGGGGAAATGAAACATTATAGCATTTCTTTTCCCTGATAAACATAGCAGAGTTGGGATTGGCCATGCTATTCAACAGCGGTTCACGTTCAACAGTATAATGGAATCATATCTCACCTAAACAGAAGTATTTTCAGTTAATGGACTTCTATCTCCAGTGCTGAAAATGTAAAAGCCGCTCAAACTATTAAAGGTAAAGATCCACATTGTTCATCAATGCATATGTTAAGGTGGAGATGCTGCTCTTATGTACAAGATCAGAATTATAATATGTTCTCTCCAAGGTCTTTACCTTGTGTATTCTTGGGTTACACTACTCTCCATCCTCTGTTCAATCTCTCATTGTACAGGGGCTTTATTGTATTTTGGCCTTCTGATTTTAATAAAATACTTTACCATACAGTTTAAAAAAAAAAAGAGTAATAAGTGCTTGTACCAGAAACGAGATATGTCTATACTTCTCAATATGTGTTTTTTTTTTTTTTTGCTGCAATCAATATGTGGTTTTTAACAATAAAACTTTACCCTACTCTTGTACTAATAATGTTTCCACTGTCTATGTTGATGATGCACAGGAGGAGGGTTTGATTCTCACAACTTATAGAAACTGGGAACCAAGTCTCAATACTGGTAGTTCACACTTTGATGTTACAGTGGTGAAGACCAACACATATGTGTTTCAATTCCTCTATCACCATCAGCCACAGATTACACTTCTTTACAGTACGATGTAGGTAATGACTTAATTCTACAAAAGGTACCCGTACTTCAGCAAGTGAAGTGTGAAACCACAATAGCGTAGAATTACACCATCACCAGAATATAGTCATGTAAAATACCATGGAAAAACAGCAGGTTGTTCGAACATTTGAGGAAAAAAAGACAACCCATATCTCACGGATCACAATATTACATAAAATGAACTCCGAAACCCCATAAGGAATAAAAGAATCTGCAATTTTGAAAGCGAATGGGTGAAGAGAAAGGACAACACCAACCTTGAGAGCAGATTCCCACTGATTGTTGCGTATTGCATCGTCCAAAGCTTCTAAAACCGCTTTTGGCCACAGGTTCCTCGCCGTCTTCGAATTCGCCTTCTTTTCAATGCCCTTAACAGCAGCCTCGGTCCTCAGTATCCGAGAGAGATCTTTATTTGCTTCCTTCTGAAGTCCTTTCAAAGCATCAGAATTCCTTTTTTCCGAATTTACCAATAAAAATGGAGGTTTTGCTTTCTTTGCTGGTCTACGGGGTGTATCAGAGGAGACAAAGAACGTGAGGAAGGAGCATGACGACGAGAAGCGTAGTTGAGAAACGTCAGGGAACTGGAGCTCCATTGCACAGAAAGCTAGAAACCAAGCGACATAAGCCAAACCGGCTTATCTCATGTCTGAAGCAAATGTTTTTTAACTCGTTTTGACTCGTCCGGTCGGACCGTTCAATCCATCGCCCGGCCATGATTGATTACAGGTCCGTCTTACACCAAAACCGAGTACTCTGTTCACAGGGCAGAGTTTGGGAAGCTGGTCAAGAAGCCATGAGAAAGCGAGCCATGTAACAGACATTCTATCAGTTTGAACGGTAGAAGTAAGAAGGTGAATCAGGTAATAACAAACATTCAGAATAAGGAGAGATCGATTACTCTGTTCACAGGGCAAGGAAGAGCTTGGGAAAGATTTTAATGGTTATATCAGTTTCAACGGTGAGGTAAGAAGGAAACAAAGAGTAACAAGGCAGGGGACACATAGGCTGCAATACCTACAACATGCTAGACTATATCAAGACGGAGAATTTTTTTCTACACATGCAACAATGATTAAAAGTTTGAAGCCTCAACGGCTTGTTATCAGTAACTGTCGCCGCAATGACCAGCCAGCTTTATGGTCCAACTTCAAGACTGAACAATCGAGCAATGACTATATTAACTCCTTGTGCAAGCAAAACCTATTCAGAGAAGCTCTCCAAGCTTTTGATTTCCTTAGAAGTGAGACCCACTTCAGGGTAAACCTTAGCACTTATGCCCGTTTGATCTGTGCATGTTCCTCTTTGAAATGCCTACAGCAGGGTAGGAAGGTCCACGATCATCTTTTGAAATCTAATGTGCAACCAGACATTATTCTTCTGAACCATATTCTTAGTATGTATGGCAGATGTGGATCACTAAAAGATGCTCGAAAGGTTTTTGACGGTATGCCAGAGCGAAATGAGGTTTCTTGGACTTCAATGATTGCTGGGTATTCTCAAAATTCTTGGGGGGAAGATGCCATAGAACTGTATTTTAAGATGCGGCAATCAGGTCTTATGCCTGATCAGTTTACCTTTGGAAGTATATTAAAGGCATGCTCTGGTTTATCGGATATTAAGTTAGGGCGACAATTGCATAGCCATGTCATAAAGTCTGAATTCGGTTCCCACCTTATTGCCCAGAATGCTCTTGTTGCAATGTACACAAAGTTGGATTATATTGATGATGCATCTACCGTCTTTGATCATATTGCAATCAAGGATTTAATTTCATGGAGTTCCATGATCACTGGGTTTGCTCAGCATGCTTATGAATTAAAAGCTCTGCACCTTTTCAAGGAAATGCTGTCTTTGGGTGTATACCATCCCAATGAATTTATATTTGGGAGTGTTTTCAGTGCATGCAACGGTCTTTTAAATTCTGAGTATGGTAGACAGATACATGGGATGAGTACAAAATTTGGCCTAGGGAAAGATGTTTTTGCTGGTTGTTCTCTTAGTAATATGTATGCAAAATGTGGAAGGATAGATTATGCAAGAACTGCATTCTATCAGATAGAAAGGCCTGACCTAGTTTCATGGAATGCAATCATTGATGGATTTGCTTACATTGAAGATGCCAATGAAGCAATGTCATTCTTTTGTCAGATGAGACATTCAGGACTAGTCCCAGATAAGACCACAGTTATTTGTTTGCTTTGCTCTTGCAGAAACACTTCTGTTTTGTTTCAAGGCCAACAAGTTCATTCGTACATAATGAAAATGGGTTTCAACCTGGATATTTCTGTGTGTAACACCCTCCTTACCATGTATGCAAAATGTTCAGATCTTTCTTATGCATTCACCATATTTGAGGAGATGCAAAGTGGTGTAGATTTAGTATCTTGGAATGCAATGCTTACAGCATGTATGCAGCACAACCAGGTAGATGATGTTTTCCAATTATTAAAACTGATGCATGATTCTACAAACAGGCCTGACGAAGTCACTTTGACCAATGTTTTGGGTGCCTGTGCAGGCTTAGCCTATCTAGAATTGGGGAAACAAATTCATGTATATGCTGTGAAAACTGGTTTAGTGTTTTATGCTTCATCCATTAATGGATTGATTGACATGTATGCAAAGTGTGGAGCACTTGGCAATGCTCAAAGATTGTTTAATTCGATGAGTAATCCTGATGTTGTCTCATGGAGTAGTTTGATTGTGGGGTATGCTCAATTTGGTTATGGGGAGGAAGCTCTTAATCTCTTTAGAAATATGAGAAGTCTAGGTGTTAAGCCAAACCATGTCACTTTTGTTGGGGTCCTTTCTGCTTGTAGTCGTGTTGGATTGGTAGAGGAAGGGTGCTATTATTACCACACCATGGAAACTGATCATGGCATCTTACCAACAAGGGAGCATTGTTCGTGCATGGTTGACTTGCTTGCCCGTTCTGGACACCTAATAGAAGCAGAGGAATTTATCAAACAAATGCCTTTTGATCCTGATATTGTGGTATGGAAGACTATGCTTGCAGCATGTAGGACCTATGGGAATGTGGAAATTGGAAATTGGGCTGCAGAGAATATCATGAAATTGGATCCCTCAAACTCTGCAGCTCATGTGTTACTATGCAACATTTATGCTTCTGCAGGCATGTGGGATGATGTTGCCAGAGTGAGGAAATTGATGAAAAGAAATGGTGTAAGGAAGGTTCCAGGCCAGAGCTGGATTGAGGTGAGAGATGGAATCCATATCTTTTTGGCAGAAGATAGATCACATCCACACATGAATGAAATATATACAGTCTTAAGTGACCTATGGCTGCAAATGGTGGAAGCTGGTTATGTTCCTAATCAAAGGTTTGTTTCAAGTGAAATATTACTGGAGTAGAGATTGAAATTACATCAAGTTGTTCATAAATATATGAAGTGTTCCCAGTGTCTGCAAGGACTGGTGTTGAAAGATTCCCATGTTCTATAAGGGAGTGATATTGTTGACGAGGTTAAATAGCCCCACGACTGATGTTACATGAATGAAATATATAGTCTTAAGTGACCTATGGCTGCAAATGGTGGAAGCTGGCTATGTTCCTAATCAAAGGTTTGTTTCAAGTGAAATATTACTGGAGTAGAGATTGAAATTACATCAAGTTGTTCATAAATATATGAAGTGTTCCCAGTGTCTGCAAGGACTGGTGTTGAAAGATTCCCATGTTCTATAAGGGAGTGATATTGTTGATGAGGTTAAATAGCCTCACGACTGATGTTTTATTCCTTTTTTAAAATTCAAAAAAACACACAAGATTTTGAGAGGATTGGGAAGCAAAGGGTGAAGGAGAGAGAATAGGTTGACTTGGACCAAGTACTTCATTACATATGTATACTTGGTTGAATATGTAAATTTCACCCAAAACAAATGATTATGTAAATCGGAAAAAAAAAGAGGATTAAAAGGCAAAAGAGTGATTTTGTTATGTAACATTTTTTTCCCTTAAAATCCTATTCATATATTTTTGGACTATTTCTATTGAGACAAAAGATATGTCTAGGTGTGCAACTTGTGTACAAGCTACAACAGAAAAACCAGAACATGAAGGACTCCACGACAACAACACAGGAAACCAAAAATAAAGGGTTGCAACTTGGGTGGGTTGGGCCGGGTTGAGGGTCAACCCTGGTCCAACCCTAAAACTTAGACCTCAGGTTCAGACTGGGGTCAAACCCAAGTTCAAGCCTCAGTTTACCAACCCAGGCCCAACCTGAGCTTTAACTTAACACAACTTGGACAGGACTTAAGATTAGGTGGGCTTGGTTGGGCCAAGGAGTGATGGTTGGTTATGAGAAGTGATGGTGGGTTTTGGTTATGAGGAATCTAAGTTTTAGATGGAGATTAGGAGGGCTATTGCAGTTAAAAAGTTCAGAAGCAAAAAGAAAAAAAACAAAATTCAGATGTTTTGGTGTCAAATGTATGTTTTTGCAGGATTATAAGGAAGTCTATTAGAGATTGAACCAAACAAGAAGGTGATGAAGTAAAAAAGAAAGTCTTAAAGAAGTAAAGAGGTCCTGTTTTGATTGTGCTTGGGCTGTTGAATTGCTGAATTTTTGGGTCTTTTGTTTTCTTTGCTTCTTAAGAAGGATTAGGTTTGTTTTGGGCCTTTTATTTGAGAGGGTTTGATTTTAGTTGTGGCTATTTGTTGGTTTTCTTTATTTGGGTGGAGGGCTTGGTTTCTGGGTTTTTTTTTCTCTTATTGGATTGGTTGATGACTCGAAGGTGTGGTTGGGTGAGGGACCTCTCTCTCTCTCTCTCTCTCTCAGGTGACTTTTGGTCACCTTCCCTGTATATTTCTCTTTTGTTTCCTAATAAATTTTATTTTTATTTGTGAGTGTGGTGACTAGCCTTTGAAGTATACAACCTTACCTTGAGGTGCCAACCCTAAAACTACTTCCTTTTGGGCTCCAGTGGTAGAAACGATAGGGAGGTGATTAGTTATTTGGAAGAGAAATTACATTTCTGTTGGGGGTAGGTTACTTGTGATAAGTCCACCTTTGCAAATCTCATTGTGTATAATATGTTTGTGTTTAGGATGCCTCAAGTGATTGTGAGAAGAATTGAGAAGGTGATGAGGGATTTTCTTTGGGAACCAGGGGGAATAAAGACCATTTGGTTAGGTGGGAAATAGTAAGTAGAGGGAAGGAATAGAGAGGGCTGGGAATAGGTAATGCAACTAAGAAAAATATATCTCTTTTTAGTAAGTGGTTGTGGAGGTTCCCATTGATAACAAAATGCTTTGGCATAAGGTCATAACTAGCATTCATGGGCTCTCAAAGAATGGTTGGTTTGCTAGTTTGTTGCATAGAGCTACTCTTGCATCACCTTATAAAGACAGGCATGGTATTCTCTGCTTGTTTCTCAATCATATCAAGTATGACTTGTTCTTTGGTAATAAGATTAAATTCTGGGAAGACATTCGGATTGAGGAGTCTCCCATGAAAGACTTGTTCTCTTCACTATATGCTTTGTCCAACCTCAAAGAGAAATCTATGTTCAATTTTATTCATCCTTTAGGGTGAATTGGAACTTGGGCTTGAGGAGGAATCTTAGAAATTCTGAAATCTCCCTATGTCTAACCTTTTGAACTTGTTGTATGGAGTGATCCTTGATGATTTTGTAGGGGATGGTTGTTTGTGGTTTCATAATTTTGATGGTAGGTTCTCTTGTAAATCCTTCTTTAGTTCCATAGTGGCTAATCCCTCTTCTTCATCCTTTCCCGTGTAAGAAGTGTGGTGTGTTTCTAATCCCCAAAAAGTTGGTGTTTTTTGTTAGAAAGTCTTCTATGAAAGCATTAAACACTTGTGATATGCTACAAAGAAAAAGTTGTATTGGTTTTTGTCTTTTAGCTAGTGTAGCATGTGTGTATTGAATGGTGAGACTATGTACCAACCTCTTAATCTCCTGTCCATTTGTTTGTTTCATTTGGAAAATATTTTTTTGCTCTTTTTTTTTTTTGACATAGGGGAACCCCCCCCCCCCATTTAACTTGGGCAATTTGGAATTAAGGAATGCAAGATTTTTTTAGGAGAAAGAGAGAAGTAGGGAGGCAATAATTGAAACCAGCACTTTAAGAATGACATTGGGTGAAGACTTTGGAGCTATTCTCAGACTTTAATGAGGATGATGTGTAGAATGTTAAAGAAATGGGAGTGGAGAGGTTACTGATCGAAGGTGATTCAAAGGTGGTAATTGGATAGTTAAAGGAAAAGTATGTGATGTGGAATTTCAAGATGGTTCAAATGATTTTCAAAAGACATGTATGAAGATCTACAAATTGTTTGGCTAAACAAGGGGTAAGAGTGTAGTGTCTATGTTCTTTTTATTGCTTTCAACCTCATGTTGTAACTCTTTTTAATTTTTAATGAATGAATTCTTTTCTTTTTGTTGATCAATCAATAAAAAAAAAGAAAATACATTTATAGTAGTGTTTTTTATAGTGGGATTTACATAACCACCACAATATAACCGTTTCTAGTAGTGGTTGTTGAGAATTGTCACAATATATGATATTTGTCTTGTTGCATTAGTTTTAGTTAATATATTGCCACCATAGGGGCATCATTACATTATGTATTTTATTTAGAAAATATAAAATACATTTACAAAAAACACACTACCACTATTTCTCTCTCTGTGCATGTTCATTCTCTTTCTCTCCCAAACTTCCCTACTGAATCTCTTTCTCTCGGCATTGTTGAATGAAAAATATAGGGACCACTTACTGATCTTAGGTCTCTTTCTCTCTTGTGTTTTTATCTCTTGTTCTTAGTACTCTGGATTTCTCTTCAGTTTTATCTCTTTTGGTTGTTTTGCAGGTATCCCTTTATCTTGTGTTTCCATAGATGCTCCACTAGTATGCACGTTTACCTATTCCTTCACACTACTTTAGAGGTAATGTTTTGGATCTTGGTTGTCTCTTCTATTTTATATTTTTTGATTGTTTTTTAAGTACTCTATTTCTTGGTACTTTGGTTAGTAGATAGTGAAGTAATAAGATTAATGTCTTAACCTTGAAATATTTGTCAATGTTTCCAATTTCTCATTACAAGCATCTAGTATCTATTTCTAGCTTATGTTTCTAAATTTTTATTTTGGTGGAAAGACATTTAACCTTAAAATATTAGTTTCAAACAAATTTCAGACCTAAATTCAGGTCCAATTTTTTGTTCCCCTAGGATTTGAATTCTAAGGCAAAAAAAAAGGTGATACAATCACAGACATGTGTATAAATTTGCTTTTTAGTTTCTAATAATATTTTCTTATTTTAAGATTCAAAACAGGAGAAAGGGAAAAAGAGAGAAGTGGATACAATTTGTAGGCCTATGTTTAGATTTGAATTGGGATGTTTCAGATATGTAATTTAAGAAAGAATATAGTTTTGAATAGTTCACTTACAATCAAAATAACAAATTAGCTATGATTGGAGAATTTAATAATTGAAGAAAATCCTAAGGTGGTAGTGGGGTGTTTGAAGGATTTGAAGTTAGACATTTGATGCTATAGGGATGAAATCAAGAAATTCAAATGGCTAACAAGAGACACAAACTTGAGGATACAATGGATGGGAAGATAAGCAAATGTCATGGCTAACTATTTAGCCAAACAAGGGGCAAATAGGGATATGTTGTAATGGGCTCAATTATAATGTGTTTTTTTTTCTTTAGTTGTTTATAATTTCACTACTATTTGAGAGAGGTTGCACCTTGTGCCTCTCTAAGATTGTTTGTACTTATTTGAATCTTTTGATAATAATAATAATAATAATAATAATAATAATAATAATAATAATAATAATAATAATAATAAATCACTTATAAAAGGAAAGAAACAACTCTATCTAGTTCTAAATTTAGATTTCTTAAGGCATTTTTAGATCTATGTTTTAATATAAGTCATAGACTGGTATTATAGGTCTAAAATTTTTAATATCTTACGATGTTTTCGGTTTTGTGTGTGAAAAGAAAAAAGAAGAAAAAGAAGAAAGTTGTTTTCTAATCTTTTTTAGAGTTCAAGGTAATATGATAAGCTACTCTTCTAATTTGTGTTCAGTTTTTTTTGCATTATAGACTAAATTCTACCGTCCAAGGTCACTCTTTAGTAATGTGCTTGTGTTGGAGTTAGATAGGTAAAAATTAAAGACAAGTTGCAAGTCATTATCACTCCCCTCTTAGCCTATGTTTTTAAACCCTTGGATCAAAGGGAATTGTAGGATCTATATAGTTTGGAGTCCCCAATTGGGCTTCCATTGTGGACTATGAGTTCTTTATTTCTACGTACAATCACAGACATGTGTATATGCTTGTCTTTTTAGTTTCTAATAATATTTTCATGTTTTAATATTCAAAAAAGTAGAGAGGGAAAAAGAAAGAAATAGATTCAATTTATAGGCGTATGTTCATGTCTGAATTGGGATGTTTGGTATCTGTAATTTAAGAAAGAATATAATTTTGAATAATTCACTGCCTTACAAGTAAACCTGTTCATGGGCCGGGTGGCCCGACGCACCGGCCCGGCCCGGCCCGGCCCTCGGATGGGCTTGAACATGTTTATAGGCCCACGGGCTTAAACTCGGGCCAAAAAGCCCGACCCGCAATAAATTCGAGTCGGGCTCGGGTTTTGTCAAAATAGCCCGGCCCGGCCCGACCTAAAATTAGACTTAAAATGGGTTATGTGATTATGTCCATTTGAATAAATTTTTTGATTTAAGAATGTAAAACTGTGTTTTAAAACATAAAAGAAAAGGAAAAAAAAACCATCTTGTAGGCCCATTGTTCAATTAAATAGGAAAAAAAACCATCTGAATTTTTAATTCTAATTTGAATAGGGAAAATTGTAATTTTTTTATTAGGTCGGGCTTCGAGCTTTTTATCAGGGCCGGTCTCAGGCTCAAGTTATAGGCCCGTTGGTCGGGCCGGGCCGGGCTCAGGCTCGGGCTTGGGCCTAGCGTATTTCCATTAGTGATGAGTAAAAGCCCAGCCTGGGCCGGCCCGTTAACAGGTCTACTTACATGGAATCAAAATAGCAAATTAGATATGCTTGGAGAATTTAATAATTGAAGAAAATCCTAAGGTGGTAGTGGGGTGTTGGAAGGATTTGGAGTTAGACATTTGATGCTATAGGGATGAAATCAAGAAATTCAAATGGCTAACAAGGAACATAAACTTGAGGATACAATGGATGGGGAGATAAGCAAATGTCATGGCTGACTATTTAGCCAAACAAGGGGCAAATAAGGATATGTTGTAATGAGTTCAGTTGTAAAGTAATTTTTTTTTCTTTAGTTGTTTATAATTTCACTACTGTTTGAGAGAGATTGCACCTTGCACCTCTCTAAGGGTTTTTTGTATTGATTTGAATATTTTGATTAAATAATAATAATAATAATAATAATAATAATTAATCACTTATATAAAAGAAAGAAACAACTCCATCTAGTTCTAAATTTAGATTTCTCAAGGCATTTTTAGATCTGTGTTTAATATAAGTCATAGACTGGTAATATAGGTCTAAATTTTTTAATCTCTTAAGATGTTTTCGGTTTTGTATGTGAAAAAAAAAGAAAGAAGAAGAAAGTTGTTTTCTATTATTTTTGGAGTTTAAGATAATATGGTAAGTTATTCTTCTAATTTATGTTCATTTTTTTTGCATTATAGACTAAATTCTATCATCCTAGGTCCCTCTTTAGTAATGTGCTTGTGTTGGACTTAGTGTGCTAGAAGTTAAAGACAAGTTGAAAGTCATTATCACTCCCCTCAAAGTCTATTTTTTAAGCCCCAGGATCAAAGGGAATTGTAGGATCTATATGATCAACTTGGAGTTCTCCAATTGAGCTTACCATTGTAGACTGAGTCTTTTATTTCTACTAGTAATTAAGCATACGCGTTGCATGTATGATTTTTTTTTCATATTAATTAATTGAATTTTAGATATATCATAGTTAAGATAGAAATTGAAAATTAACAAAAGTAACAATATGATTAAAAATGAACTTAAATACTTGTACTAAATGTGCACCTACAAAAATTTTAAATTACAATAACAATTATTATTATTATTATTATTATTATTATTATTCTTATTACTACTACTACTACTACTAAATTTTGTATTCCATTTATGTCTTAAATAAAATATTTTTTATTTTAACAATTATTTTTATTTAATACAATGACTATATAACATTAGAAATGTTCTGAAATGTCTTTGACAAAACTCTATACTTTTTTATTTTTTGTGTTCTATATTTTTTTAAATATTTATTGTTTAATTATGACATCATGAATTTCTTTGAAAAGTTGGATCATTGACCCACTATTTAGATAACAAAATACCTTTGTTTTTAGATCAGTTTTAAATTATATATTTCATCAACATTATATAAATAATTTTTACTTATCACACTTAATTTTTGTTTGACATAATTAATATATAATTTTTTATATTCTTTTGATTACATTATATCTTATGTATAATATTTATTTTTGTGATTCATTATATTTTCTATTTTTAAAAATTTTATTATCATTTCTAGATTGATTTTATCTTTGGCATTCCATTTGCATCATTTATAAAAATACTTCTTACATTTCATACTTATTTTTGTTTAGTATAATGAATATACAATATTAGTGATGTGCCCAATTCTTTTTATTTTTTTTGTATTATATGTTTTATTAATTTTAATTTTTTATTATTTAATTATGACATTATTTATTAACACATTAGACCCAAATGGTTGAATTGCTTACCCACCACTGAGAGGGAAGAAAATGGTTTTGTTTTCAAATTATTTTTCAAAAAAAATATTTTTGTATTATTAAAATTAATGTTATGGGTTTAATTAGTAGAATTTCATGATGAGAAAAATATATCTTAAATATAGGATTTAATAAGAGAATATACCTTAGATATGAGAATGAATGAGAGATAATAGGAAAATAGTTTTAGTTCCAAATTCCAATTGGTTTTAAATTTTACATTTCATTTACAACATTAATAAAAACATTTTTTATTTATCATCAATGTTTTTAACATATTGTTGACTTGGCTGATTGAACCGTTCAAATTGTCACTCAGCCTTAATTCTAGGTTTGGTTCTGTTGAAGCTCCATGTTTCAGTTAAAGTCGACTAACCTGGGTGGTTCAACCATTGACCTATTCGACCTTGTAAGCAGGTCGTAGGTTGCACACTTAATTATGTACAAACTTTTTGAAGCCATAACTTTGCACTTCGATGTTCGATTGGGGTTATCCTTTTTTTTTTAATTTTGAGTAACTTTTCAAGATCTATACGTCCCAAGGGCCTTAGGCACCTTGCCTTGCTATTTTTGTGAAAAAAATCCCTTTTTTGGCCCCAAATTGCAATTTTTAATATTTTTTTATAAATAAAATATTAAAAACTGAATTAAAAAACATAAATAAATGTAACATAATACATATATTATATGTAATTAATATATGTAAAACATAATTATACTAATTATTGATAAAATATGAATTCTTACACACACACACACACATAGTGTTGACATAGAGTGGTTTGACTCATTTGACCTTAATAGCCGAACCGGTGACCTATGACCCAAAAAACAGGTCGGCCTCCGGGTCGTTTTTTAAAACATTGTATATCATACTTATTATTTTTTAATATGCCAAATATATGATGTTAAAAACATTCCCAATTTTTTTAATTTCTATACTTTTTGCATTTTATATATTTTTGAATTTTCTTATTTAATTGTGACAACATGGTTTGAATCATTTGACCCAAATGACTTACGTTCTTACCATCACCTAGATGAAAACACTATTTTTTCTAGGTAGATTTTAAAATTATAAGTTTTTATGTTATTGAAATTATTAATATGTTATGTATGAATTTAATTATAGAA